CCCCTGTGGCCGGGAGGCTGAATTACACACGGGGCTGTGTGAGCGTCTCTGCACCCCCTGTTGGCCGGGAGGCTGAATTACACCAGGGGTAGTGTGAGTGTCCCTGCGCCCCCTGTGGCTGGGAGAGTGAACCTCATGCTGGGTCAGAGGGACAGACTTGGTGTCCCCCACCCTGTGGCTGGAGTTAACTTCAGTTCGATAGTCGTCCTGGTGAAGTGCTTTGGAGATTTTATCTTCCTGCCTTAAAGTCACTATGCAAGGATTAGAAATGGTTGAGTCGGCTGCATCAGGCCCCTCTCAGGAGTGCAGTGTTAACGGAGGGAAGCGGGTGGGTGAGCTATCGTCTCTTGCTCTTGAGGAGGTCTCTATGCTGTAAACCAGATTGTAATTTTGCGGTTTTTGCTGGTCTCTCCCCTCAAGGCCACAGAAGTGAAAATCAACACGGTGGACTTCAACCAGGAGTTTATCTCCCGAATGATTCCAAAGATGGAGTGGGCCGCGCTGGTCGATGCTGCAGAGAGTGTAAAGTATTTCTCATTTGAGCTCCATAGTCAGCCTTCGGGTGGCCGATCTCTGACAGGCAATTTACCCGGCACAGCGTTCCGTGCGCTCACCCTCTGTGCATGCTGCCTGTAACTGTGCTGTGACAGGCAATTGTTTACATACAGGATTTCCACTCTCATTCTCAGTCCCACGAGCGGGAAGCCTTTTTCCGTCTCCCAAAACCCCTTGGTCGACTCTCTTCTCGGCCAAGGAGAATCATAGAGTTGCATAGCACAGAAACAAACCCTTTGGTCCAACTCATCCATGCCGACCAGATATCCTGTATTAATCTAGTCTCATTTGCCAGAGTTTGGCCAATATCCCTCTTAAACCCTTCCTATTCATGTACCCATCCAGATGCCTTTTAAATGCTGTAATTGTACCAGCCTCCACCACTTCCTCTGGCAGCTCATTCCATACACGCACCACTCTCTGCGTGAAGAAGTTGCCCCTTGGGCCCCTTTTAAACCTTTCCTCTCTCACCTTAAACCTATGCCCCTCTAGTTTTGAACTCCCCTACACTGCGGGAAAAAGACCTTGGTTATTCGCCCTATCAATGCCCCTCCTGATTTTATAAACCTCTATAGGGTCACCCCTCAGCCTCCGACGCTCCAGGGAAAATAGCCCCAGCGTATTCAGCCTCTCCCTATAGCTCAAACCCTCCAACCCCGGAAACCTTCTTGTAAATCTTTTTAGGACCCTTTCAAGTTTCACAGTATCCTTCCTACAGCAGGGAGACCATAAATGAACCCATCGGGGGAGGGGGTGGGGGAGGGTGGTGCAGCTCAGCGCCCCATGTGGCACTCCTGGAGGCACAAGAGTGAACGCTGTATTCCAAAGGTGGCCTTACCAGGGTCCTGTACAGCAGCAACATGACCTACCAACTCCTATACTCAATATTCCTGACTTCTCCAGTTGACCCATGCCACTGGAATTCTTCATCCTGGAGCCACTCATTGATCGTTGCTGCACCCTTCTTTAAGGCCTCTGCATCTTTCATGAATTGCGGCACCCAGAACGAGGTCTTAAGTTGTTGTTTCTATAAAATAAAGACCAATTGTGTTCAAAGTCTGATTAGTCAGTTTTACAGGGAAATGTGAAATTCTGGGGCTGCACTCAGCTGAAGCAGATTCAGAGAAATCATTGGATGCCACTTCGGAATCTATATGACTCGGAATCTATATGACTCGGAATCTATATGACTCGGAATCTATAACAACTCGCTGCCTCAAATAAAACATCCTCCTCACTTTCGGGTTCTTTTCCCAATTCTCGTGAATCCGTGTCCTTCCGGTTAAAATCCAAACCAGGCCACTCCAGCATGTGATCAGGAACTTCTGATGAGAGGGGAAATCTGCAACTCCTTTTTTTAAACTCCTGTACCCCTTGAAACAAAGGTTTTTTTTAAAAAAAATAAATAACAGGAGCAGGAGTAGGCTATTCAGTCCTTTTAATCCTGCTCTGCCATTGGTCGGTTCAGTGGTTAGCGCTGCTGCCTCACAGCACCAGGGTTCGATTCCAGTGTCGAGTGACTGTCTGCGTGGAGTTTGCACATTCTCCCTGTGTCTGCGTGGGGTTTCCTCCCACAATCCAAACATGTGCAGGTTAGGGTGGATTGGCCATGCTAAATTGCCCCATAGTGC